AATCCGGATTCTAGGCGCGGAAGCTTGTATTGAAAAGTAGTTTTTGTTGGGGTGCTCGCACAATTTTGACGCATGAAAAATTCGATATGTTTTTTTTAATTTTAATAAAAATTGAACAATACGGAACATAGATCTAAGACTAACCACAAACAAACTAGAGACGTGAGGGTGAGGGTGAGGGTTTACAATTTGTATCTAACCCTCACCCTCACGTCTCTAGTTCGTATGTGGTTAGTCTTAGATCTAAGTTCCGTATTGTTCAATTTTTATTGAAATTAACGGTTCTGTTAATTAATTCTGGTTCTATTAGTTAATCAGTTCTGTTGCCTCAACACAACATAGTGCTCTTGTTCAGGAACAAGCAAAGATGAACATCCTTTGGAGCCGGAGCAGGGTTACCAGATGTCCCCCCATAAGGGGGACAGTCCCACATTTAAAGACTTGTCTCCCGTGGAAATCTGTCCCACTGGGTGTCCCTCTTTTCGAGGATGTGCTCTTTTGACTGTCTTCAATGGATGTTGCGCTTTTGCACTACGCTTTCATTTCAATAGACCTAGCGTTTAGTGCTTGTTCTTATGTGAGATACAGTCTGCATGACAGATATATCTGCCTACATGCGATAAAAGAAACAGATTATTTTTCTCTTTCTTTCTGCCTTTTTTCACGCCTTTCAGGTCGCATCATTGAAATAGAAGTGAAAATAAAACTTCTTTACACAATTGGCTATACTATAAGAAAAGAAACAAAACTCGAATACAATAACATTTTCATTCTTTGTACATATTTTAAGTTCAAATTCACATTTTATTCCTCGACTGAATATCTCGTTTCTTATGCTTGTCTAATTACTTTTAAATAAGTAATGTCTGATTTTAAAAATGAAAGTTCAGAAAATTTAATTAATAAACTAGACAAATCAGCTAAACTATCTACGAAACGTGCTTGTCGTTTTAAAAAGGAATAGTTGAACAACGAGAAATACAAAGATTTTTTGAGAGAAGTTATCAACAAGAGCACTATGTTGTGTTGAGGCAACAGAACTGATTAATTAATAGGACCAGAATTAATTAACAGAATCGTTAATTTCAATAAAAATTGAACAATACGGAACTTAGATCTAAGACTAACCACAAACGAACTAGAGACGTGAGGGTGAGGGTGAGATAGTGAAATAGTGTGTCGACACTGTGATAGTGTTAGACCTCGATTGTTTTTTATCCTTTTTAAGTAGCCCACACTTTGGGTACTTGTACAGGCGATTACGCCTATACCGTCGACACTGTGGTAGTGTTAGACCTTGGGTTTTTTTTTGTATTCCTTATTACTTTGGGTTTGCAGTTCGCATGCATCCCCCACACGTAACACTTTTTATTTTTGTGCTTGCGCAACAGATTGCGCAGAAGGTTCCTTCTGCGTCTACAGAACAGGAGAAACAGCCGCAAGAAGGCATAGTATTACTTTTCCACGGACGTGTTTTATAGACGATATCAGTTCTTCTGGCCCTTTTAACTGAGTAAACAGAAACCACTTACGCATTTTATTTTTATTTTTTGTTCTTCTTATAAAATAACTGATAAAATTTCGCTGACAACCGTTCGAAATGTGTTTTACCGTAACAGACCAGTTATTTAAGCAAGACAAATCTAAGCATATCCGAAGAAAAAGAACGCAAACCTCCTTTTTTTAATAATTCTATTATAAGTTATTTGAGAATAATTCAAACAAATTCTATGAAGTATTGACAAATCCTTGGATACCTCCACATCAGTACGAGTTTAAAAAGACTGAAATATTTGAGATAATGCGTGATGGCAAAAGAAACTGAAAACGCTGACATCGAATATTCCGAAGAAAGTTATTTTCTTTCCTCACATCTGTCCAAAGACCTTCGCATAATACACCGCGAACGTTTTCTTTATGAACATGACGAAATATCGCTAAGTAGCTGTCGTCGAGCAAGCTTTGGTTCTGCACCCATTTTGCAGTGGTGCTACAAAAATGGATTTGATTTTGATAAACTGATGAAAAAACAATCGATGACTCTTGCGGTTTTGAAATATGCCGTAACAGGCATTGAAGCTGAAGGTAAAGAGATTAACCAGCTAGATCAAGCTAAAGAGATCTGTGACTATTTGAGTCGTATTAAGCAACCAGTTACGGCGAATCCGTCAGATATTGGTCGATGCTGTGTCTATCTTTATACAAAAGATACTTTTCTTTATAAACGTACAAACGAACTTTTACGTCAGGAGCGCAACAATGCTCCTGGAGATATTCTAATTGAACGACTGGCGCCATACTGTGCTTTACTGTCATCATATCTTCAAATGCAATTTATTAACGATGGCACATTTGTACAAGAAGAAAACTTGCGTCTTTATACGTCCAAACACATGAAATATATCTATCGGGGCAGTAATCTCTCGCAAGAAATGATTGAGCAATATAAACAAAATATTGGAAAACGTATTTCGTGGCCTGCGTTCTCATCAATGTCTAAAAGCCGTCGCGTAGCGGAACTCTTTGGAAATACTCTGTTTATGGTAGATGCCAGTGTAATAAAATCAATAAGTACCGATTATTTAGCTGATATTGAGAAAATCTCCGCATTTCCCGAAGAGCAAGAAGTGTTACTCACAGCGGGAATAAATTTGGAAATTAGAGATGTGAAAGAGGAGGAGTGCGAGAAGTACACTATTTTAGTTTATCTTTCAGAAAATCATCGACATTTGTTTCCCGGTGAAAAGATGCGCTTGTCTACTTTTGAATCGGACAAAAAGGATAGCACGGCCGGTAAATACTCGTTAATCAGCGATATATTTAAGAAATCCTATGCATATATAGCGTCAAAGACGAGTATTATTGAAAAGTTTGGTACAACAAGTGGGGGATCACTTGTCGCTATGTCTAATCCGGATTCTAGGCGCGGAAGCTTGTATTGAAAAGTAGTTTTTGTTGGGGTGCTCGCACAATTTTGACGCATGAAAAATTCGATATGTTTTTTTTAATTTTAATAAAAATTGAACAATACGGAACTTAGAGCAGAACTTAGAGCAGATATAACTGTGATCGAGTCCTGCGTTTTGAGAGTAGATGAGGGAACTGGGTGCCGTCGGAAAATGTAGGCAGAATCAGACTCTTGGTCGGGTGCACTTTCCGATTTGAAAAACATACGGATAAGTGGGTCAGAGGATCTTACGATAGGCGAAACTAGTGACATGGGTTCCGAAGAGGAGGGATAATCCAAGATAGTAAGTGAAGCAAACTCAAGTTTGAGCGAGCCAGTTGGAGCTGCGGCTGGTTTCACGTACTGTGATGAATGCTCTAAAGGGGCAAAAGCTGGCACCAGCATGGGTGAAAGGATAGGTGGTTCGATTCCGTCAACGTGTAGTTTGATGGCATGGAAGTCAAGATTGGGCACTGCTTCAGTAACCGTGGCATAGAAAACTTCATATGGATCACGCTCACAAAATATGTCCGACAGACCGACGAGGGAATCGACACATTCATCGAAAACAGACTGAAGGGGTTTATCGGTAGGCAGCAATGGAACTGGAGGTAGGTGGACTATGTCAGCTTCGTCTGAGAGAAGGCCAGCATCTACTGACAGAGTGCTTTCATCTTTAGGGTTAGAAAGAAGAATAGCCGAGGCGGATGATTGATAAACTGAGTCATCCTCAAGGAAACAAGGAAATATGTGACAACTCGAGGTTAGATAGCGTTGTGCGAATCGATCAAAGGATATCCATCTATCCCAGGTTTTATGGGTTTCACACGGATCTTTTCTCCACTTATCCTTCTTCTTTTTTAAGTGGCTCACATTTCGATGAGTAGCCCTGATCTTGTCACACTATTTTATTTGAATAAGCTGAAAGAAAGAAATTAACCCTTTCTTGCCTCTAGTTAAACCTGAAGGTCTTGAACCAAAATATTATAGGGGTTATAGGTTATCGAGCATGCTGATGCCGAATATGACCATGGAGGCTTCCCATAGATCTTCGAAGATCC